TGAGGCAACAAGGGAAGTGCCTTGGAACTGAGCAGATACGACAAAGGGTTTTTTTTAGCGGTAAACGCGCAAACTTGTGTCTTCAGAGGATTAAATTGGACTAGATTGAGTCGCCCCCAATCCGAGACTTTGTTCAGCAAAGACTCGACTTCAGACACAACTTTGTTCCGGTATTCGGCGACGTTTTCCCGAGAAATATTGGCACGGCCGGTGTATAGAGAATCACCAGTGCTGTCATCCGCATAGCAATGAATGCTATCGGTTTGCAACATATCATTGATTGCAGAAGAAACAGCGTTGGTGATAGCACGCAGCCTTGTGGAATACCAGCGTTAATAGGCTTGTAGTCGGAGCATGAACCGTCTACAACGAACTTGATGCTCTGATCTGCAAGAAAAATGGTGATCCAATTGCACAATTTCTCGGGAAGCCCATAGGAAGGGAGCTTCGAAAGAAGCGCTTTGTGCCAGACCCGATAGAAGGCCTACGCTATGTCCAAACTAACGGTCAATGCCTCCCCCTTGGACTCGATCGCCTGCGGCCATTTGTGTTAGGTAAACAAGAATATCACCAGCTGAGCGACCCCGACGGAAACCGTACTGGCAGTCACTAATCAGCTGGTGCTCCTCAAGGTACCGCATGAGCTGGCAGTTAATAATGGACTCCATTATTTTCGAGAACAAGGAGGTGATGGCGATAGGCCTGTAGTTGGACGGGTCTGAGCGGTCGCCTTTTTTAGGGATCGGGTGGACCAAAGCTGTCTTCCATGAATTCGGGACTACGCCTTGGGAGTAGGAGTACCGGAAAAGACGCGTTAAAACCGGTGCCAACTCCGGAGCACACGTCTTCAGCACAATGGGAAGGACTTCATCAGGCCCACTCGACATGCTGACGTCCAGGGAGAACAGTGCTTTACGAACGGAGTGCTGTGTAAACCGCACATCCGGCATGGAGCACTCACACCGGGGGATGGTCGGCGGTGTGTTCCCCCTTCATCTAGAGTCGAGTTGGACGCAAAGAGAGAGCTTAACAGATCGGCTTTCTCCTTTTGCGGCACGGGCCAGTGAGTCGTACTCCCTGTGCAGAGACGGTAGGGATGGCTTACATAAATTCCCTTGGACAACCTTGGCGAGAAACCAGAATGCACGGGTTCCCGAAGGAAGGCGAACTAGTTTCTCGCCAATTCTGCCTATGTGCTCTGACTTTGCCTTGGCAATAACTCTTTTGAAGGACCTGGAGGCGAAGTTATACTTTATTTTAAGCATGCTGGTGTTTATATCCCGAGCCGCCGAAGTCTCAGCTCAGGCCTGAAAGCACTCCTGCTTACTGCGTTATGCATTCTTACAGGAGCGACCAAGCCAAGGCTGAGATCTGCCTCCGATGGGTACCACAGATGATGAAATAAATAGTTCCATTCCCTGTAGCACCACATCAGTGACAGAGTCAAGAACAACGCTGGGATCATCCGGCGAGAAGCAAACCCGCCCCCATGGGTAGGATGCAAAGAAAGGCCGCATTCCGTCCCAATCCGCCGACCTGTAATGCCAAACACGGCGGCAACCTGCAGAACGCAACCGCGAGGTGAGCGTGAGTGGCACCACACTCCGGACCAGACAATGGTCCGAAGAGCCGAGAGGGGCATCGACGGAAACCTGATATTTGTCCGGATGAGGTCAGCAGAAGGTCCAACAGGGAAAGTGTATGATCCTCCACATCTGGAATCCGCGTAGGCGAAGTAACCAGTTGTGTCAGACCATACGCCAAGGCAGTCATAAACAGATCTCCCCGCATGATCGGTTAAACGTGAACCGAGCTATTCGGCGTGGTGGGCGTTAAAATCGCCAAGAATCACGATCTCTGCGGATGGGACCTGTTGTAGCAAGGAATCTGTAGCCATTTGGACGCTCGACGGTCGATGAGTCGGTCTGTTTCGGCATTACCGCTATGGGACCTATACAGGCACCCGTAGACGCGCGGATGGTCGTCGCTATCTACGCGTAGCCAAAGGATGGACAGGTCCGAACCTTCAAGACTGTCGAGGCCTCGAGAACAGATGTCCTCTCTGACGTATATGCAATCTCCAGCCCGAGGCACAAAGGAGTGTTCCAATTTGTACCCCAGGTAGGAGAGATACGAAGTATCAGCTGGAGAGGACACCTGCGTCTCGGTCAGAAAGAGCAAGGCCGGCTGCGCTGTCTTGAGATGGTAGTGGACGGCGTTTAGGTTCGAGTGAAGTCTCCTGATGTTGCACAAATTCACGGATAGCGTGGCAGGGGTCGCCTTGGTCTTGTTGCTCAGTTTGCCCCGAGCAGCTCAGTTTTACGCAGGGCAGCCTGAGCACCCACGCTCAGCAATGGAGTGGCATGGTCGTGGATGGTCAGCGAGGGATTCTCCAGGGGTGCTGGTACCCTCCTGGGGTAGTCTATGATTTAATTCCGCTACCATGTTGATGGGGGGGGGGGGGAATTGGGCCTCCGGTCACCTGCACTCACTAGACGAAACGCCAGAAGCAGAGCTTCTACTTCACGCCGGTATTCTGTGAGGTCGTAATCAGGCTCGAGCCGGCCCATGCGTACAACAGCAAAAGTTGCTGTGTGGCTCGACCACCGTTAAATCTGCATTTTTATTCTTAATTGAGGATAAATGTAGATGTCTATGGGCTGCAGCAACTACTTTCCATCAGGTGGACTGTGTGCTCGTTTGGTACCCTTATCCTATAAAAAAAAAGTGTCTACTGCTGGCCATGGACATCTACAGCCAACTTCAAAGAAAGAAGGATACAGATGTTACCTCTGAGGACTTTTAAGTAATGTCTCACAACCTGTAATTCTTATTTTCTGTGGACCGAAACACAGCTGTGCAAGCTCCTCTGGATATTTGGTGGCAAAAATAGGTACTAAGACTAGATGAAAAATGAGTCCCACCCTCTAGCAAAAATAATAACTTTGTCATTTTTCTTTAAGAATGCACCACTTTGTTTTATGCATGTTATTATAGCTCAAGATGCTATTATAAGTGACGTGCCCGCAATATTGAAGTCTTTGACTAATGTAAGATTCTTCTATATGTCACACACTCACATACCATTTCTACTTCATACCATTGTCTATAAAACAGCTATATTATGGTTGTAGCACGAATGGGTCGGCTCGACTGGGGAAGGACCACGCTCTCACAGAATACCAGAGTAAAATAGCAGCTTAATGCTGCTGTGTTTCATATGGTGAGAGTAGAGAACCAGAGACCCTTTTTACTGGAAACGAGGTATTCCATCTTAGTCCTCACGGGTGACAACGCATCTGCATCTTGATTCTTAATCGACAATAGATGTAGATGTCTTTGGGCCACAGTAACCACTTACCATCAGGTGGACTGTGTGCTCGTTTGTCACCCTTATCCTATAAAAAAAAAGTGGACTTGTATTCCTTTATCGTAAATGTTCATTGTGAAGAATTACTTTTAATAAAAAGTAAAAGCCAACTTCAAACACACACAATTCCAGATTAAACTTATTCATGAGTGTTATTTTTTTTAATGCAATGAAGAATTGTTCAATTGGTACTAGTAAATGTATGATAAGTTATAAGACCTTGACATAAAATTGAAAATAATCGCCATATATTTTGTTAGTAATTGAAACCAATTAGATTCTAATTATAAAGTATACTTTGTAACTATTTACAGTCTGTTATTAAATTATTCAATCTTTTTTTTTGCTATTTGTGTTACCTCATAACTTTTTTCTGGGTGAACCAATTTCAATGATTCTTTTTTTATTTGACAGCTGGTGCTTCTCATGTGGTCCCATATAAATTTGATCAAGGTCTGACCAATAGTTTATGAGTTATGCTTAATAATTTATATTGAAGTTAGTTCTACAATTTTTTTAATATTAAATTATTACATAAATGATGAACTTATTGCATCTTAAATATTGGTTAAATTTATTGATAGTTGTCACAAATTCATGCAAGCAAAACAAATTATAAAATAAACTGTATTTTTGCAGAGATAATTCAAAAGGTGATAAATTTTTTAAAACATGACTAAGCTATCTTTTCATCTAAGAAGATAGTATAACCAATATCACATCAAGATTAGACAAATATGTACCTAAGATTTATATTGCGAAAGAAACTGATATTATTAAAATTTTTAAATGGTTAAGGTTTAACTAACTTTGGTATTATTATGATGATAGACATAATAACTTAAAATGTTCTAATGTAGGTATCATATTATGAACATTTAGAAACAAGAATTAACATTCAAGATCAAAGTCCATTTTAACAATCACAAGCGGTCTTTGCCTTGTCCATATTATTATATCTTATTCATGGAAAAATTTAATGTAAATGATTATGCTAACCTCAAACTATACGTTTTCCTTGTAACTTGATTCTAATTGGATTGGTTTTCAATGACCTGCTGCCAATTTTAATAGTAAATGCTGAGGCTCGTAAGAGTATAATGAAAAATAAGAGCAAAATACTTTTTAAATCTAAAGAAACTATTTGAATAGTAAAATATTGCATGAAACGGAGACCGCTATCCTAATAGCACTTAAATATATTGATTTAAAAATTACTGTTTACAATTTTTAACTGATACTGACCTTTTTCATCTAACTGAAGTTGGGTTTTTACATATTCGGTAGGAAATGTAATACAAATTTCAATGCCACCAGTAATTCCACCGGCTACTACGCCTTTTAAACCAACAGACCCTGAACCTCCAGCCGCAGCCGCTGCACCCGTCTCTGTCATCCATGGTCTTGAGAACGGGTTTTTAAAGTTCCCAGGCCTAGTAGACATTATTTAAATTATTTAGGCACTCGTCGTAATTACGACTGCGGCGCGGAAACCACTCACTCCTACCACAACAAAATACAAACTGAAACTGCCATAGATATAGATTTATAGATAAATATTTTTTTTTTGGAGTTTATGGCCTGGCATCTAGACCTTTAGGCCAAGTCTTGAGTATTTTTATTCGGTTTATTATAATTTCCCCACTGTATTTTTTATGAATTTATATAGAGGCACGTAATAGGATCTATTTTTTAACATATCACTCAGGCGGCGGGAGGGATCTTGCACTGTCACTTGATTTTACACTATGTCACTAATTTCACTGACAAGAATCAATCTGTCAAATGAAAAGCACTCACATGTAAATATGAAATGTTCGATATCACCAACAGAATTATTGCAGAAGGTGCAGTAACTGCTCTCCACTATGCCCAATCGAGCCAGGTGGGCCGGGACGGTGGAGTGACCAAAGCGCAGTCTATTTATAGTGGTAACAAAGTCCCGACTGGCCATTTTCAGTTTGTTATACCATGGTGCTACAGGTAGTTTTTCTTGAACAGTTCCATACCATTTACCCTTCTGTTCTTGATCTTGTTTCCAAAATTCGACCCATAAGCTATTGACCTGGTTGTCAATAGATTGATAACAGTCGGTCAAAGGTACTTTTACTATGGAGCTAACATCCAACATGTTGGTTCCATCACGTGCAATTTTATCTACTATCTCATTTCCTGTTATGCCCCTATGTGATGGAATCCACATGAAAGAAACCTGTATACCCTTTTTTGCATAACTAAATAACAATTTTTTAATATTATACAAAATATAGTTTTTTTTAAAGTCAAATCTGAGATTAGTTAAACTTTGGACCATACTTAAACTGTCTGTTAAAATTAAAAAATTATTAAAACTATTTATATGTGCAATCCTCTTCAGGGCCTCGAGGGCCGCATATACCTCTGCAGTGAAAACACTGCATTTAGGGTCCAGAAGAAAACTTTGACCAAACTTGCATTGTGGATCATAAACGGCACTGCGCACAAAGAGCTCACTTTTGCTACCATCTGTATACAAAGTATAGTAGTTATTGTCGGAAATAAAACTTAATAATTCACAATTATTAAAAAAATTTTTGGTAACAATATTGGTCTCAAATATAATACAGGAATATGGGTATGTGTAGCATGTCCACTTTGATTGTTTAATTACATTTTTAAAATCTTCATTCATTTGCTGTACAATGAGAGGCAAAACTGGAAAATAACCTTGTAAAAGCTCACCTCCCGAAGTCTGCTGGACCGAGCATTGTAAAGGAAAAGGTACTATTTTTTTGAGAACATTATCATTACCAGATACCAGCTTTAGTAAATATCTCTCTATTAGCAGAAGTCTTCTAAGACACAGTGGCATTATTTTGGTTTCAACTTCCATAGCTCGTATGGGAGTTGAACACATAGCCCCAGAAATAATTCGCAGAGCTTTGTTTTGAATTATGTCTAGTTTTTTTACACAACTACTATTTGAGTAGGCTAAACAACTGTAGTCGAAATGGCTTCTGACTATAGATTTATATAGCATACTTAAAACTTTGGGGTCTGCACCCCAAGTCACACCAGCTAAACATCTTATAATATTTAAGCCCTTAAGAGAGTTAGTTGTAATGTGATTGATGTGTAAATTAAAACAAAGTTTGTTATCAATGACAACACCCAGGAATTTATGGTTAGATACAACTGAAATTGGATGATTATTGTAGAGTATGCCATTAGAGGGAAAATCTTTACTAAAAATCATGGCCTTGCTTTTGTTAGGGTTAATCTGTAGAGCCAACTTGTCATTATAATATATGTACAATTGCTCTAAAGCATTATTTATACTATTTACAGCTCTATCTACATTATGGTCTGTACAATATATTACAAGATCATCCGCAAATTGTAAAATATTTACACCTTCTATATTTAGAAAATTAAGAATTTGTATAGTGTATATGTTGTACAATAATGGAGATAATGTAGCCCCCTGCATTGTACCTTTGGAGACCCTTCTGGGACCATGGAGAATATTATTATGCCTTATATACAAAGTTCTATCTATTAAAAAATTAAATAACCAATGGCAAAGTATGCCTGGTATACCAATGTCAGAAAGAACTTGAACCAAAATGCCAGGATCTACATTATCAAACGCACCTTCAATATCCAGAAAAACACAAACACTGGACTTATTATTATTATTGGCATATTTCAGATCTGACAAGAGAGAGATGAAGCTGTCAGCACAACTTCTGCCTCTCCGGAAGCCATATTGAACATGTGGAATGATGTTGTTCGCCTCTACATAACACTCAAGACGCATCTTTATCATGTTTTCATTAAGCTTTCCAACACAAGATGACAAAGATATAGGACGATATGAATTAGGATCTTCAGGTGGCTTGTCAAGCTTAAGTAGAGGGATTACACACTGTGTTTTCCAAGATTCAGGAATTTTTTTTAAGTGCCAAAGAGCATTAAGATTAGCTAATAATTTCTTTTGTACGGACTGATTTAGGTTTTTGATCAAAATGTATGGACAATTATCTAAACCAGGGGTTGTGTTTCGTCTGGATTGTAAACTTGTACAAAACTCACTCCAAGTAAAGGGTTCTATGAGGAAACTGGACTTCTGAAGACTATTATTAATTTGAAAATAACTTTCTAGATTATCAATAACCCTACATCCATTTCGAGATAATTTGTCTAAAAGAGGGACTACAAATTCGTCTTTATATGTTCTATTATTGCATTTTATTCGTTTAAATAACTTGATGTATTTCCAAATAATACTAACAGGTGTAGTTCTGTTAAAAGTATTACAGATGTTAGCCCAACCATTGCGTTTATGTTCTGAAATAGTCTTTTTCTTAACAGCATTAAGTCTTTTGTAATTAATGTAATTATCAATGGTTGGATCTCTTCTGTACAGTTTTAAAGCTTCATAAGTTTTAATAACACTCTGTTCACATGTGTCACTCCACCAAGGTGCTGGAGGTTTGCAACGATAGTTGTTTGCTTTGACAAACTTTGGCACAGTATCTCTCCTAAGTGTATCAAGCCTTTCAATAAATTCATCATATGACTGTAATGGATTCTCATTATTAACTTCAAAATTAGAAAAAGCAGTTATAGACAGCTCATTGTATTTTGTCCAGTCTGTCTTGTTGTATAAGAATTTTTCAATGGGAGGATTAATTTGGTATCTATCAACTGACAATAAAACACGAGTAAGCGTAGGAAAATGATAGCTCCCCATACAATCATCATGCACCCACCATTCGCATACTGGAGTGATTGAAGCACTACAAAAGCTGACATCAATAGCCGATGGATTTCGGTTAGGATAATTAATAGTAGTGAAGCTACCATTGTTGAGGACACATAGATCAAATTCATCAATTAAATCGGATAACTGATGACCCCGACTTTTCGTGGTCATACACCCAAATGCCACATGGTGAGCGTTGAAATCTCCAGCCACATATATTGGCTTAGGCAAATCTCTAATTATATCATGCAGTTTACTTATTCTGAAGTTACCATTCGATGGAGGGCAGTATACACATAAAATCGTTAATTGTTTACCACTTACATATAACAATAATGCCACAGTCTGAATGTCTTGGTAAAATCTGGTTTGAATAATATTATATTTAAAATACGGTTTGATCAAAATTGCTACTCCACCATGCTCATTTTGGGCATTATGATAGTGGAAATTATATCCCGAAATGTTAAAATGCTGAGTATCTTTCAGCCAAGTTTCATTGAGTAGACAGATATCAACATTTTGCTCATCTAAAAATTTAGACAATAAGGATTTTTTCCTATGTATACTTTGAATATTGTTCTGAGCTATACATAACTGCTGTATGTTCTGTACTGTACTGTCCATTATTGTGACAGATTTTTTAAAAGTAAGTCTTTAATGAACAGTGTAGTCACAGGTTCATTATCTGTTTTATTACCTAATTCGACTAAAGTTTGGACTATTGCCATCAAAATATTCTTATTGTTTGCAATTTGAGCCTTAAGTTGAGTTTGATTCAAGTTGGGTTCAGGCACTGTTTTATTTACATTATTTACAATTTTTACATTTTTATTTAATTTATGTACATTTTGGTTTATTGATGTTAGGGTCTTAACAATGCTGCTCTCTGCAGGTAAAGACGGAAAATCAGATGACTTAATTGTATTAGCTACAGAGGCATAAGTAATTTTACCCTTTTTTTCAAGTATTTTTTTCATTTTTATTGGGCAATATTTGGAAATGGCCAGGTGGGGACCACTGCAATTGACACAACACAGGTTTTCTTTTTTATCACAGTCTCTGAAATTATGTTCCCCAGCACATATCGAGCAACGTTGTTTACCATTACAAATTTTCGCAGGGTGGTTGAACTTGAAGCACCCGAAGCATTGTTGTAACGGTGGGACATATTCAAACACCCTGAACGAAAATAGGTCATATTGGATGTTGTCGGGCAGAACATTTGATAGGAAAGTTATACTGACCGTCTCGAGACCTACAGTACTTTGACCGACTTTTTTCGTGAATCTTCTCACTGAAATAATTTCATAAATCGAAGACAGTTTCGTATATAATTCCTTGTTCGAAATGTTGGTAGGCACATATCGGATGATTCCAGTTTTTTCTATCTGCACTGCAGGAATATGCGCCTTCAAGTTGTGCTTTGTTAAAAAGTCTGTATTTGTGATGAAATTATTTGCAGTGTTGTATTGTTTAAAAACAACCGCAATTTTGTTGGCATTGACTCTATGTAAAGCTACCACACCTTTCACCTCCGAAGTAAAAATATGATTTAAGTAAACTGGGCTTTTATTTCCAAGTTTAACCTGTTTGTCCTGGCTTTCAACAAAAACTTTGAAGTCCGTATTTGTACAATGTTCAGGATAAAGTCTCAGATAACCTGGCTTAAAAAACGGAATAAAGTCATCCTCACCGCCGCCTACTTCAGGTCCACTTTCCTTCGTACCTCTTTTACGAACAATTTTGGATCGTTTCGGGGTTCCACCTGGATCCTCCGGTTCATTCATTTTAACAATTAACAAAATGTACAATTATTTACACCGAACAGGATATTTTAACGATAAATATAAAAATTAAATCGACCGCCTCGTTTGAAGTTCCCGCCAAAAAAAAAACTTATAGATAAATATTTTTTTTTGGAGTTTATGGCCTGGTATCCAGACCTTTAGGCCAAGTCTTAAGTATTTTTATTCGGTTTATTGTAATTTCCCCACTCCTTCATAGTATACTGCTTCACAATATGTTGATGCGTCACATTGTGCAGTTCTTGGGAGATTTTGGCGGCAACTTGATCCAGCAGACAGCTGATAGTTGGCGATGGTATCTAAAGGTGCCTATGCAAACAAACAGCTTATCTTGAGAATCCATCACTATCAGAGCACTTGTTTCACTGTTTCCACTAATAGTTCACATGCGTAGACACTTAATACACAAAATCGCAACACTTTTACATATCAAAGTCCACTTCAAACCATTATTTAAACAATAATACAGGAGCAGCAAACCGCCGCCGGTCAATTTCCCGCCAAAACTCCTATAGATAAATATGTAGCAAGCAGAGTTTCCACTTACAATTTTGGTTTATCCCTATTTTTTTTAGGATTTATCCCTAAAATTCCCTAAACGATCTTAAAAATTCTTATTTTTAAGGAGCAAATTTTTATTCGAGAAATTAAACAATAATTTATTATTTTGAATATATATTAATAAATCAACAAAAACCAGATCAGACAGAAGATTTAGGAAACTGAAGCATTACTTTTCTAATGTAAAATTCATAAAAAATGCCCGTAATTTCATCAAATTAAATAACGGAACTTACCTCAATACTTCACACATTGGTCTCACTGGTACAGCGAAGCCTATATATATTTCTGAGTGTCTTACTCCATATGCAAAAAATCTTTTTTATTTATCTAGAAAATTTGCTAAAGAAAATGGGTATACCTACTGCTGGACTTCCTATGGGCTCAGCTGTCTGCTGGCTCTAGTTGCCGTCAAAATCTTCCGAGGGTTGCACAATGTGACGCATCATCATATTGTGAAGCAGTGTAATATGAAGGATAATTATAAATTGAAATCTTTAGGCTCGGAAGGGCAAGAACCCAGAGCCGTGGAGCCAGTTAAAAAAAATTAATGAATGTTGATGTGGTCTATGGTCAAAAGTCAAAGCTCTCAAAGCGTTTATTTTGGCCTTGCTACATAATATATATTTATGGTTTGGCGTTTATTTAACACTTGTTCATATTATTTTATTGTGATTATTGTTCTTTCTACTGAAATCATTGTATAAAATCAGCGAAAATGGCACTAAGAACGTACGGCGATAAGCCGATAAGTTTTCAAATTGAGGAAGGTGGAGAATTCTATTGTGTAGGCTCTGAGGTATGTATCTGGTATGCGGTAGGCATTCAGGTTTATTTTGATTGAAAACTTTTAGAAATTTATTAATTATGAGTTATTTTTAAAGCGTCTAGTAATAAGTTATTTAAATTCTAGGTTGGTAATTATTTGAGGCTGTTTCGTGGTTCCTTATACAAGAAGTACCCTGGCATGGCCAGGAGGACTTTGACAAATGAGGAGAGAAAACGCCTTATTGATAATGGTTTAGGGCCCCATGTGCTCTCTAGTTCTGTATCTTTGCTTAAAGCTTCGGAAGTTGAAGATATCATTGAAGGGAATGATGATAAGTGAGTATAAAATAAGTATCCTAAAATATTGTTAACTTTTTTATTATAAATAATAAAATAATATAGCATGGACTACCATGCTATATGTACAATGATATGAGGACTTCTCAAAAGTCTTCATAAATTGAAAGCGGAATTTAAGCATAAGTGTTCAATGTTCCAAAGATTCAATATATACCAAGTGTGATGAGTAGAAACTGACACTCATTTGTCTGCCTGAAGTGAAAGGAGTTAACTGGTGTAACCTGTGATCCAAAACTACCTGTTAAACTCATGTGGATAATATATACTTTAATGTGGATAATATATACTTTAATCAGACCAGTTCTTAAGTAAGGAAGTGAATTGTAGAAAGAATGTCCATGTCACACAAGTGACATAAATGTAGACGTTTTTGGGGAGAGAGAAGACTCGTAAAAATTTGCAACAAGTATGCTCACAGAAGTCTTGTATTTGTAACTTTCAAACTACATCAAAAACAAAGCCTCTAGTCTAAACATCTCTGATGCCTGCAAAATAACTGAAAATGATGCCTTGGACAGAACAAAGTGGAAGTGAAACATTAGACTAGCAGATCCCACTACCTTGTGGGAATATTTGTAATTGTTTTAACAGTGGTAGAGCCACGCGGCAGGTTTTGCTGTCGCACGGATGGGCTGGCTCGAACCGGGGTGGTACCACGACCTCACAGAAAACCAGCGTGAAGTAGAGGTTTACCTCTGCGTTTCGCTTGGTGAGTGCAGGTGGCCGGAGGCCCTTTTTACTGGAAATGAGGCATTCCATCTTAGTCCTCACGGGTGACAACACATCTACATTTTGATTTGTAACAGAGGATAGATGTAGATGTCTATGGGCCGCAGCAACCACTTACCATCAGGTGGACTGTGTGCTCGTATGTCACCCTTATCCTATAAAAAAAAAATAATAACTACACAGAAGAATGGGTATACCAAAGAATTGTGTTTCATTTCACTGTTGGTTGGGGCAAAGCCCTCCTCATTTCTGAATGGAGTCGGAAGCAGAGTCCACCACACTGACACAAAACTTGTTGAAGGACTTAGCCTGCGTGTTAGGGTTTTTATGTTTTTGTGCAGAACCCTAATTCTTTTTCTAAAATAAAAGTAGCCTAAATTACTCCTTATGAAATCAGTTATCTACCAGTAAAAGTCCCGTCAAAATCGGTTCGGAATTAGCCAGAACAAATAGACAGACAGACAGACAAAAATTTTAAAAATTGTATTTTAGTTATAAGTACCGTATTTACTTTCATATGCATTTAGTAAAAAACTGTAATTTTGACATTACAAACAGACACTTCAATTTTATTTATTTCTATAGAGATAGAATAGAGTTAACAAATATAACATTGATTCTTAGTTGAGAATAGATGTAGATTTCTATGGGCCTCTTCTAGCATCCGCTTAACATCAAGTGGACTGTGTGCTTGTTTGCTACCTTTATTTTATAAAAAAAAAAATATATAAATTTTAGTGATTAAATTATTTATATCATTTACATAATTTATTATGTGAAGTTTATTTTACTTTATTTGTTTTTAATCATAATATATTAAACTTAAACTTCAATTAAAAATTAGAAACAGATTTCAAAAAGTCAAAGTTCAGAAAATAAATAACCTAAAATAAACTTTACATAATATATTATGATGTATTATTTTTACATATAACATAAAAACTTAGGCCTGTCACCCAGAGGGGTAGGTAGAGACTACGGACTTCCATTTGGCACGATCGTGCCACACCTCTGTTGCCTGCTTTACTTCCATATATCACATACACGCTTGTCTGTTAAGGGTACTCCAAATCTGGCCCATCTTCAATATATCTCCAATTTGGTCAATAAACCTTCATCTAGGATGTCCCTTCCCTACTCTGCCGTTTACTTCTGCAACATAAATTTGCTTTGTCATTCTTTCCTTGTTCTTTCTTTCTACATGACCAAACCACCGAAGCATTCCTTTCTTAATCCTGGTCACAATGTCATCTTGCAAACCACACTTTTCTCCTATCACACTATTTCTCACCCTGTCATTCAGATTTAGCTCTAGCATACTCCTTAATGACCCCATTTCTACAGCATTTATTCTACTCTCATACTTCTTCTGCCAACTTTCACTACCATACATTAAAGTAGGGACTAACACAGCTTTATGAATATATATGCCTTTTTTGACACATTCTGGCTTTCCATCATAGCATGCAGAGCCCCATTCACTCTATGTCCTGCATTCACTCATTCTTCTATATCCTTATCATATCTACTAATCCCTGCTAAATAAACATCCCAAATATACAAACACATCCACTTGCTCAATCAAATCCCCTTCTAATCTTAATTACATAATAATATTACAATATTTTAATATTACATAATATTTTTAATCAAAATATATTAAACTTAAACTTCAATAAAAAATTAGAAGCAGACTTCAAAAAGTCAGTCAAAAGAATTTTAAAAAACCTCTTAGTCCTCTTAAGAGGACTAATATTGCTAGTTCAAAGTTACTTTCTAGTAACTTTGAACTAGCAATAGTGTAGTTTCTGTTGTAGTCTAAACAGATACTTTAAAAACTTCATATCCTATTTTTTTCAACCTTTAGTGTGGAATTTTTGCTCAAAATTGACTCTTGACCCTTGAAGTATAAACTATTTGATAAAATAAGAATTTTTGATGTTGGCCAAATTTCTACATGTGTATATTTTTGCCTATATAACCTGCATTCATACATAACTTCCTATTATTTTAGATACAAGGCAATATCAGTTAGTCAGGAGTTGGCCACACCTCGGGAGGGCAAGAGTAAGAAGCCACATAATCCATCATGGCTTCCTGTTATGCCCAATTCTTCACATTTAGATGCAGTGCCTCAAGCTACACAGATCAGTAGAACCAGGGTACATAATAAGAAGGTAAGTATAATTTTGGATTGGGGTGAACAGGTGAAATGTTAGTTTTTTCTCCAAATGCTCACGTTACATGCATTTGGTGCACCATGCTGACAAACAAACAAGATTCTGGCACCTGATTGATATCAGAAAATCCATCCAAAAACAACCCAAACTCTGCACAACTGAGTTGGGAGGGAATATCACCAGTGGAAAAGTATGAAACTATCTTTGCCCTATGTGCTAACTATGGGCAAATTGTTTAAACAATGCTTTCTGTCTAGCAAATTTTGCCTATGACCAGCCGTGGATTATAAAATCTGTTAATGTGTATTATCATATACCATGTAATGGCACATAAGTAAGTATAATGAATAATAAACAAATATAACCATATAAGTTATATCTATCTATGTACATAAAAATGGAAATTGAGAAATTTATTTTGCCATTTCCTCTCCTTTCATAAGGACCTAATTTTAAAATGATTGAAAATTTAGTAGGTTTAAATAAAGCCATTGTACAAACAAATTTTATTTTCTTATGTAGATGAAATAAAGATTATATAAAAAAAAATATTTAATTTCATTTCATTACTGGTATTTCTTTTTGAGATTTAGCCTTTGACACAGTTCGACCAATCAAGAGAAAAGTTGACACATTTATGAATTTTTTATGGAGGTTTTTATGCTATCCACTTGATATAAAAAGAAATTTTCTCCGTTTGTTCTGTATGCATTCCTATATCATTCAATTGATTGCAATGAAACTTGACGCGCGCAGACTTGACGACTTCCAGCCTCCCGAACAAGCCGGTTTCCGAAAAGGCTTTAGCACCATAGACCACATATATACCCTTCGGCAAATTGTACAGAAGTCCGAGGAGTACAATTTGCCACTATGTCTGGCGTATGTGGACTATGAGAAAGCCTTTGATTCCGTCGAAATTTGGGCGGTGCTGCAGTCCCTTCAGCGATGCCAAGTTGACTGTAGGTATATCGAAGTGTTGAAGTGCTTGTACAGTAGGGCTACAATGGCTATCCGAGTACAGAACCAGAGTACGAAACCTATCCAAGGAGGTGTAAGACAGGGTGACGTCATATCCCCGAAACTCTTCACCGCTGCATTGGAAGACGTTTTCAAGCTTCTGGACTGGAAAGGATACGGTATCAACATCAATGGCGAGTACATCACTCACCTTCGATTTGCCGACGATATAGTCCTTATGGCAGAATCGCTGGAGGACCTAAGCACTATGCTCAATGACCTCAATAGTGTTTCCCAACGGATAGGTCTTAAGATGAACATGGACAAAACAAAGATCATGTTTAATGTCCATGTCACACCTATGCCGGTAGTTGTTGGGAACACTAAGCTCGAAGTTGTTGACGAGTATGTTTACCTGGGACAAATAGTCCGACTAGGTAAGTCCAACTTCGATCGAGAGGTCAATCGACGGATTCAACTCGGTTGGGCAGCGTTCGGGAAATTACGGCACATCTTCTCGTCAGGTATACCTCAAAACTTGAAAACGAGACTGTACACCCAGTGCGTGTTGCCAGTGATGACATACGGAACTGAGACGTGGTCCTTCACTGCTGGCCGGATGAGGAAGCTCAAGGTCGCTCAGCGAGCTATGGAGAGGGCTATGCTCGGAGTTTCTCTGCGTGATAAACTCAGAAATGAGGATATCCGCAGTAGAACCAGAGTGACCGACATAGCCCAACGGATTAGTAAGCTGAAGTGGCAATGGGCCGGCCATATAGCTCGAAGAACCGACAACCGATGGGGAAGAAAGGTTCTCGAGTGGCAGCCTCGTACCGGCAGGCGAAGTGTAGGGCGTCCCCCCACTAGATGGAGTGACGACCTGGTAAGATTTGCAGGAAGTCGATGGATGCAGGTGGCTCAGGACCGTGCTTTGTGGCATTCTTTGGGGGAGGCCTATGTTCAGCAGTGGACTTGTGAAGGGCTGTAATGATGATGATGATGATGATTGCAATGAAACTGGAGTTGCTGTGTTGCCGCCTGCAAAGATTTCGGACAAATAATAGAAAATTAAGGGTTATTTGTTTGTTTGCTGGATTTTTAGATATTCCTATACCATACTTATAATAATAATGAAACTTTGGTGACTTGTATGTCTACCCTCAAAGGTATTTTACAAAAAAAGGCAATGTATGCTGGGCATTTCTAGTATTAATAAAGCTTGGCTATATAATGTCTTCAATGTATTCCATAGAGTAATTTTAATGTAACTATATTTAATCTGTTAAATGTTTACTAACTAATGTTATATTTGCATTAAAGTTTGTCTTACGTTTCAATTGTAGGTGCGCACATTTCCTCTATGTTTTGATGACACTGATATGACTGCGATGTTGGAAAATGCATCACAGAAGCAAATACTGGTTCCAATAAGACTTGATATGGAGATAGAAGGCCAGAAGCTTAGGGACACCTTCACTTGGAACAAAAATGGTGTGTATTTATGTTTATTATAACAAATATTTTTCTTTATAAACTGAAATGACAATCGAATTTTCATTTCACCTGATGATAAATGGCTACTGCAATCCGTGGACACCTGTAGACAACTTCAAAAAAAGAAGGATATAGATGCATTGTCACCTCTGATGACTAAGGCTGAACACTTCACAGCCTGTAACTATACTAACTCTCCACACCCTTCAAACACAGCAGTGCAAGCTCTGGGTTGGTGTTGGCAGCAGAAATGGGAAAGAGTGTGAAACCTACACAGACGGACTCCGAGGTAGGAAAGAAGTCCTACCACTTAGTAAATTAAAGATACTAGAGTACCAAACATGCTCACAGTTCGTAAATGGTATTAGGATATTGCAGCCTATAATGACTACATGAGGATTCAAATGAAACAGAAACAGTGGTAGAGCCACGCGGCAGCTTTTGCTGTCACACGGATGGGCCGGCTCGAACCAGGGTGGTACCACGACCTCACAGAAAACCAGCATGAAGTAGAGGTTTACCTCTGCATTTCGCTTGGTGAGTGCAGGTGGCCGGAGGCCTTTTTTACTGTAAATGAGGCATTCCATCTTGGTCCTCACGGGTGGCAGTGCATCTACATTTTGATTTGTAATAGAGGATAGATGTAGATGTCTCTGGGCCGCAGCAACCACTTACCATCAGGTGGACTGTTTGCTCGTTTGTCACCCTTATCCTATAAAAAAAAAGGAAGTGGCCTCTTGGAAAGCAAAATGCCTCACCACCTATCAAAAACTGGATTCTTTTTATAAAATGTCATCTGTGTATTTTGTTCAACTTAAATTGAAAATAAACTAAATTTTTAAGTTGTTCATATGGAGGATCTTATGTCCATATACTACACTCACATGTATATCACAAATGTTTCAAGTAATATATAATCAGCTGTCGCTTGGAAATTGCAATTCTTACATCATAAATAGGTCGACCTATCCAGAATAGAATAGGTCATTTTTATTCAATATAGATTACAGTAATACTCATTGAAAGTCATTTTTTACTTTTATCACTTCTTCACAAAAAACCTCTGTCCTGGGAAGAACTGGAATTTACAATATAATATTTTATACAATTGTTATCAAATGACAAGGATCACAGAGAAGGATCAAACACCCACAAAACACAAGTATCAAATAGCAGCATAAGACCGTTGATTTTTTCTATTGGTAGTGAGGCATTCCATCTTAGTGCTTAGTGTGATGAATGATGAAGACTAAAGATCTTCTTTCCTGACTTTTATTAAAGCATTTCATCTTAGGTCAAAGCAGTGTGTAATTATTGTATTTAGATATTTCAATTGAGGATACTTGTTGGTGTTTATGGGCCGCAGTGTCCATTTACCATCAGGTGGACTCTATACTCTAGGCATTAAGCAGTTGACTTAAAATCACTGTTTATGCAGGATAATTATGAAGTTATCTATGTCATGTGTTTTTAATACTTATTATTGCAATCACAGTATCACATTTTCATATTTCAGAATCAATAATAACACCAGAACAGTTTGCTGAAGTGCTCTGTGATGACTTAGAATTGAACACAGTTACATTTATACCGGCCATAGCATCATCAATCCGACAACAGATTGATGCATTCCCTAGTGAGCCACCTGCAATTCTCGAAGAGCAAACTGACCAAAGAGTCATTATAAAACTAAATATACATGTTGGGAACACATCCCTTGTTGATCAGGTACTAGTAACTTCTTATTAACTATTATATTCTGCAATAAAAAGTAACCTTTATAGTGAACGAAAACCCAGCAATTTGCAGCTCAGAATTATCTGGAAATGATTGTGGGGCAATGTATGCTCATATGCCTTTACACCAGCCGAAAACCATGCTACAGATGAAGTGTGCAGTGATGGGTGTAAGTATTTTTTTTTTTGTATAAGGGTGACAAACGAGCACACAGTCCACCTGATGGTAAGTGGTTGCTGCGGCCCATAGACATCTACATTTATCCTCTATTACAAATCAAAATATAGATGCGTTGTCACCCGTGAGGACTAAGATGGAATGCCTCATTTCCAGTAAAAAGGGCCTCCGGCCACCTGCACTCACCAAGCGAAACGCAGAGGTAAACCTCTACTTCACGCTGGTTTTCTGTGAGGTCGTGGTACCACCCTGGTTCGAGCCGGCCCATCCGTGCGACAGCAACAGCTGCCGCGTGGCTCTACCACTGTTAAAAAGTTATTACAATAATATAATACATTTTTTTTAGAAATAGAGTGGCAAATGAGCACATAGTCCACCTGATGGTAAGTGGATGCTGCGGCCCATAGGCGTCTACATTTATCCTCTACTAGCTGTCCTCCGCGACTTCGCTCGCGTGTTAGGGTTTTCATGTTTTTGCGTAGAACCCTAATTATTTTTCTAAAATAAAAGTAGCCTAAGTTACTCCTTATGAAATCAGCTATCTGCCAGTGAAAATCCTGTCAAAATCGGTAAAGCCGTTTTGGAGATTACCCGGAACAAACAGATAGACAGACAAAAATTTAAAAAATTGTATTTTAGTTATAAGTACCGTATTTACTTTCATATGTATTTAGTAAGTAACTGTAATTTTGACATTACAAACAGACACTTCAATTTTATTTATTTGTATAGATTAAGAATCAAAATGCAGATGTGTTGTCACCCCTGAGGACTGAGATGGAATGCCTCATTTCCATTAATAAGGGTCTTTAGTTCTCTACAGTCACCATACGAAACAGCAACATTAAGGTGGTATTTTATGCTAGTATTCTGTAAGAGCGTATTCCTACCCTGGTCGAGCCGACCGATTCATGCTACAGATATAATATAGCTATAGCGTGGCTCTACCACATAAATATGTGTTGTATGCCTAAATTTTATTCTTATTTTTAGGTTGAATGGGATATGTCTGAAAAGGAAAATAATCCAGAGCAGTTTGCAATGAAACTGTGTGCGGAGTTGGGTTTGGGAGGCGAGTTCGTCACCGGCATTGCCTATAGTGTAAGAGGACAACTGGGTTGGCACCAACGGACTTATGCTTTTAGTGAAGCACCATTACCTACTGTTGAGGTACGAAGATTAAGATTTTTTATATTTCTTACCACCTCGGGCTTTGATGTAAGGCACTATGTATAGAAAAATTAAAGAAAAACCCTGACGATGTGAAATTATTTTATTGTTTGTAGTTCTTTGAAGTCGACTTTTGCTTTTTATTAAATAGTTTATTTTATTCATTTGAGTGGACTTAAGAACTATCACAATTTCATTGTTGTCCAAATAGTTCCATTATTATTATTTGGTCTATTTGGCCCTTGGTATTGTGATTATGTCACAATAATTCTGCCAATGTCCGGTCCTTGGTCTGTCGCACCTTGTCTTTAGGCTTTTCGGTGGAAAAGGAGTTAGCGGTTATTAGGTGAAGATATGGATAAAAACAAAGCAACTAAATACATAAATTATGGACCACACAATATAGAGCAAACATCTAGTTATAGGAGAGAATTAGCCTGGGCAGGGAATAGAGAATTAGTTTAAGCTAAATTTAGTACACGATAATTAGAGTTTAATATTATACATTTGAATATATTTTGAGATCATATTGACATATATGGAATTGGGGATAGTTAAGAGGGAATTGATATTCATTGGTCGAGGGATTGTGTTGGGAAGAATGTCATATAAAGAAATTGGGTGATTTTGGCAATTAAAGAAAATGTGGTCTGGGGTACCTTCATCCAGTCCACATTCACAGAGGGAATGATCTTTGATTCTAATTTTAGCTAGAAATACAGGAGTGCAGGCATGCCCAAGCCTTAAACGGCAGATTGTAGATGTGATTTGTTTGTTCAAAAAGCTAAATTTAAAGAACCAAGGTTTTGGAGGGATTTGGGGTTGAATTTTACCAAAGTGACAACCTTTAATATGTCTGGATGTGCTCCATTCTCTGTTCCAAGAGTTCTTTAATTCAATTTGAGCTAATGACATTAGATCATGAGAGTAAATCATTAAATGAGAAGGACAGCCAGTATCAACAGCTCCTTTGGCCCAAGAGTCAGCCTGTTCATTTCCTTCTATACCACAATGACTAGGAATCCACACAATCTCCACATCAAGCCCACTCTTATTACAATTTAGTATGAGTTCCTTAATTTTCAGTATTAATGGGGAGATGGAATTCATTTTAAATATATTGCTCTGTAATGACATTAGGCAGCTTTTTGAATCAGTAAATATAACTGACTTAGGAATTTTATGGGAAAGAATATAGGAAATAGCCTCATATATGGCTACAGCTTCCCCAGTAAAAACAGAAGCTTGAGGAGGACATCTATAATTAAGGACAATTTTGTATTTGGGGATCCAGACTGCGGAACCGACACATTTGAATGGAGACAATTTGGAAGCATCAGTAAAAATATATAGCCAATCAGACCATTTTTTTGCCACAAGGTTGTAGAAAGTTCTGTTTGCAGTGGGGGAATTTTTATTAATGTTTAAATTCAGAGTGATTTTAGGGTTTATTAATATAGCTTCATAGCTGGTTTCAAAATAGGGTAGAATTAGGGATGTTACACAAGGATAACCAATATTTTTAAATCTATTTAGAGATTTAAGAATAGGGGCCAGCTTTTATTAAACCAGTAGGAGTTGTTTACAGCTAATAGTAGCAAGGATTCTAGTTTACGATGTAAGGGGTGAGATGATAGTTGTAGAGTTTTTGAGAGAAATCTATCAGCTAGAAACTGTCTTCGTAAAGAGAGAGGGGGATCAGCACATTCTACTTGTAAAGCATTTTTAGGAGTTGATTTCATTGCGCCTGTGATAATACGTAAACATCTTGTTTGGATAACATCAAGTCTATTAAGGGCCGATTTGTTGCAGGGCTCCAAAAGAAAAGAGCCATAGTCGAAGTGACTGCGGATGATAGCATTGTATAGGATTTTTTGACACATGGGGTGAGAACCCCACCATACGCCTGAAAGGGATCTAAGAATATTAACACCTTTCTCACATTTGTCACAGATGTAATTAAAGTGAGCAGTACCAGTCATATGACAATCTAAGAAAATACCTAAAAATTTTACTTTGTTAACAACTGGAATAGATTCACCATTATATGAGATATCAATAGTAGGGAAAACACGTTTTCTACTAAAGGTTATTGTTTTGCTTTTAGAAGCAGAAAGAGAGAGGCCATGGTCAGTAAGCCATTGATTAAGATAATATAAGCCTCTGTTAAGATGATGGGAGGCAGTTAGGATATCAGGAGCTGTTACATAGATAGCAAGATCATCTGCATATTGTAATATGTCACAGAAAGATGAAATCGAATGTTCAAGGTCATATGTGTAGATATTGTAAAGAATAGGGCTTAAGACCGAGCCCTGTGGTAGACCCTTCCAGATTGTTCTGGGCGAGGTTAACATTCCTTTATTGCGAATTTTGATAGATCGTCCCATGAACAGATTGTAAATGAAGTGTACAGTCTTCGCAGGGATGTTCAGATGAAGCATTTTCTGCCTGAGCACTGGAAGAAGAACACTGTCATAGGCAGATGATATGTCCAGGAAACAACCCACCAAGTATTCATTTTTAGAAAAGGCCAACCTAATATCTGTAGTTAGGATGCTCAAACTATCTAAAGTGCTTTTACCTTTACGAAAACCAAATTGACTTTTTGCAAGGATGTTATTATGTTCCAGAAACCATTCAAGTCTGTTTTTTATTAAATGTTCTAAAATTTTGCAAAAAGTAGATGAGAGTGCGATTGGGCGGTATGAAGAAGCTTCTTTGGGATCTTTTCCGGGTTTAAGGATAGGTATAACAATTTGGTTTGACCAAGACAGAGGAATATTAGATGATATGTAGATATTGTTCAGAATTTGGAGAAGAATTAATTTACCTTTAAGGCTTAATTTACATAAACACGCATAGGGTATGCCATCTTCTCCTGGAGAAGAGGATTTTAAGCCAGATAGCACAGACTGTAATTCGGACAATGAGAAGATTATCTCATTATTGTTGATGTAAGACGGGACTGGAATGGGTGGGCATATTGTATATTCATTAGGGACAAAAGGAGGAGCTAACATATCAGAGAAGACTTCTAACCATGGTAAAGAGTTATCAGAAATGTTGGAATCAGAAAGAAGGGAGCCACGAAATTTTTTTATATTTTTCCAAACTATTGTTACTGGTGAATTAGGGGACAAGGATTCACAGAATTTTTTCCATCCATTTTTTTTCTTTTTGGAAAGTAGTCTCCTTGTTTGAGCGGAGGTTTTTTGAAATTGTATAAAATTATCGGTTGTCATACAGTGATTATAAAGCTTTTCTGCAGCTTTTCTCCTTTTAATCATAGTGGTGCACTCAGCATCCCACCATGGAGGGGAGGATAGGTTCTTGCTGTGGGGTTTTTTGGATGGGATAAATAAGTCAGCTGCTTCAGTTATATATTGTACCAATAGAGAGTACGAAGTTATTGGGTTGGTTGAGAAGTCAACCTGCATTTGCGCAAATTTAGTATCTAAAAATTTAGTGAAATTAGTCCAATCTGCGTCTTGGAGCTTATATTTAAGGAGGGGCATAGTAAAGGGTAAAGGAATAACCGCATTGGGTTTGGTAATAAGAATGGGAAAGTGATCACTTCCATATGATTGATTGAGGGTTTTCCAAGAAAGCTGAGGGGCTAGACTAGGAGAACAAGCTGTTAGGTCGACAGCAGACCTAGGGTCTAGTCCTGGGTATACTCTATGAGTGGGGGAACCATTGTTGATAATGCAAGCATTAATGTCTTCAAAAATTTGTATAAGTTCTGAAGAGTATATGTCACAAAAATGTGACCCCCAAGATACATGATGTGAATTAAAATCACCGGTAATAATAAAAGGGGGAGGTAACAAAGAGAAGAGAGAGGATAGTTCTTGAATTAAGTGGGTATTTGGATGAGGGATATATATTGAAATAATGTTGATTCCTGCAATTTTTGCAGCTACGGCATTAATGTGTTGGCTATGAGGAGGGAGTGCAATTTGAGAGAAGGGTAGGGATTTTTTTATGAGTAAGCAACAACCACCATAACCATCATTTCTATCTTCACGGAGGCAAGTAAAGTCCATTAAAAACTTTATCTTCTATTTCGCCACACTTAGAGGTGGGTATTTTTTCAAAATAATATTAGACTACTGAAATATTATGCTTATTTTTTTAAAATTATAATCGGAATCAGTTGGCTAATTGTGAACCTCTTTTTTTGAAGTCGGCTAAAAAGTAGCCTAGTAGGGCTGCTTAGGGGAATTATTTTTATTGCTCATTATGCAGTTACACATCGAATTAATTGACTGGTTGATGATTTGGAGAAGATGAGATCAATTGTTATAGAGAAATGCAAGATGAAAAAGTTCACTCACCAACATAAATAATCACACGCACTCGCCCATGAGCCAGACAAGACATACAAACATAATTTTAAAAACAATCAAATTGAACTCTAAATGTGGAAGGTTATGGAACATTTGTATCAAGATCATGGAAAAAGTTTTTGATCGGTTTGTTACTGGAGCTGCTTTTTTACTATGAGCCTTAGTCTAAGTAAGAGTCGATGAGTTTATTTACTTCACCTCGTTAAGGTCACGTGGACACTTTTTGTTACCGACACGGGAAGGAAACCATAGTTGCTGTGTCCGGTAGCGGCAATCGGACACAGTCACCGGTTGCTACTTCTGGTCACTGGTAACAATTCGTTGCTTGTTTGTGTGAAAAAACATTACCTTTGCTTGTTGTGTTGATTACATGTTGACGTAGACGTCGTCGCCGTAAATATTTACAGGCAAATCCACCACGTCAATGTCAGCGCCGTACAATTGTAAGGAAATTTGCTTTGTGTTGCTTGTGTATTCAACTGACGACTTAAAGTTGCCCTATACTGAACACTTTGATTGGCGTTCGGTATGTGTCAAGTGGAAGCAACTGGACACAAAGTGTCTCCGTCTGCACAAGGATTGGCTGATTTCATATTGATTACATGAAAATAAAATATTCACTGGTAGCTTATATCCCACACAGGACACAAAAGTGTCTACATTTGCGCAGCGCCTCAATCACCATATGTTAGCTGTTAGCTAGCTCGACAACTATATAGCTATTTTTTTTACAGTACCTTTGAGTGACTTGAAAGCATACTTACAACATTTTCTTTGTTCTCATTTATATAAAAATTATACTTTTTTTCAGACTCCTTACCGCCAGCCTTCAGAAGCCGATCAATGGGCTCCATATCTGGAAACTCTTACAAATGCCGAGATGGAGAAAAAGATACGCGACCAGGACCGAAACACGCGACGAATGCGGCGACTCGCCAACACTACGCCTGGTTGGTAAATATGCATCAAATTGGGTTCTTGGCAATGCACATCTTATTTAGCCGCTTTTAGAATTGAAATTTAAAAAAAAATGTGTCACCATACAACATGAATATAATTTTATTTATTTATTTATTCAGCCAAACTTATCACTAATATTACAGGATCTAATGACCTAATACTCTAGTGAAAACAGTAAACATTTTAATTATTGTAACAGTCAACACTTTCCTACAGTCTCTAAATACGTAGGGAGATATTCCATTCGGTTCTCCGGCAGACTTAACGCTGTAGTGCACCTCTAACTTCTTCTAGTTATAAGCTCTCTAGATGCACGCGCGCACCAACATTACCTTCACCAGTGTTAATGATACTCGCGTTCACTTCTAAGTCTGTCTGTTTCGTACTATACACCGAGTGGAAATACCTCGCGAATTCTTCAACACTTTGTTGACCCGTTAACGCCTGTCCATCCTGTAATGTTGACCATGCTAATTGATAATTGGATTATGTTGCTATTACCACAGTTTAAATACCTTAAAGTTGTGAAACGCCTTTGATGACAGGCGATGCCGCCACCCGCGTAGGCAAGGTTGCCGCGACCAGCGTGTATTCTAGGGGTTTTCACGAAAATCGGAATAAAATAATTTTGGGTGTTATAATACTCATTATCACATTTTGTACATACTTATAAGTTAAAAACATTTATCGAACAAGATCAAACACATTTAAAAGTGTTGCACTGACAAATATTTTTGTGACACTTTTTTTATAAATGTTTACAGTTTTTAATTGCTAAATTTATGTAGTGTATTCCTATTCGGTTAAACAATTTTATGAACAAAAAAAATTAGGGAAACATAACTATGGCCGTCATTTGAATTCAATTTTACTTAGTAACTCATATAACTATAACAGTAATTCACTATTATAGATATTATATTTTTCAAAAACTGCACTTAAAATTAGTTAAATAAGTACTATAAAACACGCTCGCGCCAACCGCATGTATTGTCTATCAGACTCAGTGAAGTGCGTTATCACAAGGTCGGCCCGCCCCCTGACCCGCAGTGCCCCGTTGCTCTGCGCAAGTATATTCGTTTCCCAACTGTAAGATCTTAAAACTGTGCTATTACTTTATTATATTATGCTTTGGCGCAAATATATTATTTAAATTCATAATATTTATTATTCTTGTAATATGTTATTCTTATATTTAATATTAGTAACGACAAATAAAGTAAATTGATAACTTTTTATAAATTTTACAAAGTTGCAAGTTTACAAAAATCACTAAATTATTCTTACTTACTTTCTACCATATGTTTAATGTATTCTTTCACTATAGTATTATGTCCATAAAATATTGCATCAAGAATAAATATTATTCCATAAAGCGGCTTAAATATGATTGACATTGGCATTTAGATGTATATTACACCACAATACAAGTGTTAAATGTGCAATAATGTACCAAGTCAACAAGTGTTGGCATAAATTTATATTTCTAATTTTATACGATTGGTGTTTTGGTCAATTTTTAACATAGACATAGAGATAATGGATTGTACGTTCTGTATTCAGTTGTGCAGTGAATACAGACCGAAAAGTGCGAGAGAGACAAAGGGAATGTGCGGCCAGTAGTAGTAGTCTCTTTCTAGAATTCTGATTGGTCCACGTCACTGGCTTGCGGGACATAGATCAATCAGGCTTGCAGGAAAGAGACAAGTATTGGCCGCACAGTCGCTTTGTCTCTTTCTAGAGAATGGTCACTTTTGTGAGACTAAGGCTCAGTCCATTCTCTATGTCTATGATTTTTATTTAATTATGTGACGTAATATACATAATGGCGTAAGTAGATATTTAACTGTCATTTGGGATCATTGGAATGAAAAAAAAAACATTGAAAATTTTTGCTCATTGTACACATATAGTATTCATATTAATGGTTAATATTGGTTTATGCTAGAAATTTTATTTTAGGATGTTAAGCGGGTTAGTTAGGCCTATTTTAATAAATTAATTTATTTTAATCATAGAAAATTTATGGTAATTGTACGCTTTGAGTATTTATATTACTAGTTAATATTGGTTTGGGCTAGAAATTTTATTTTGGTATTTAATAATTTAATATCAATTTAAGTTTGTTTTTTTCTCTCAATCACAATTAATTTTTTATCTGTAATATTTATTAGCATACTATTTTGGAATTAGAAAGGAATCAGAAATATTTGGATAAATCTGATTCTACGAGTACATTTTTATATGAAATGCTTCAATAAAATAAATAGTATGGAATATATAATTGGCATGTCTAAAAATTGGTTCGTCTTATTAGATAGCCACCATGCTTTTGACTTGACAAATTGAGGTCATATTAACACAATACATTTGTTTTGTCGAGTACATAGATGATTAATAGCTATGCTAGGATCCTTATTAAAGGTGGTACTTGTACTGTATTATCGTTAGTGCCAAAAAAAAAATCACAAAATATGGACCTTACAGGTGTAGAACTGTAGGTGTATTAATAAATTTTATTTTATTATTTTATTAATAAATTTGAAAAGGTGAGGACAGAACGTCTGCCGGGCGATCTATTATATAATGAATTATTTTTTAGTACTTTTTTCTAAAGTAACCTTTAAAATCCGGAGCTTAATTTTTTATGCTATATCTTACACAATGCAATTTTTTTTTATTATTTCGTTGTACTTAAAAATAACGTCTACAAATTTTACTCGAAAATTTCGATTTCGGGATTTGTCATGTTTCATGACGTATGTCCTAGGCCAGGGGTGGCGAACCTTTATGTATCAACGTGCCATTTTTCTAAAGAAATCTTTAATGAGGCCATAGGACATGCCGTAAAATAATTTTGACTTCGTGATTATCGCCGCCCCGCGCACCGCGCCCGAACACTCCATAGCGTAGAATCATTCGTACATAGTGAACTTTGTGACGGGGGCGTGCCCAAAATATTGTGTCGCGTGCCATTGGCTCGCTATCCCTGTCCTAGGCTATGTATGATAATTTTATAGGGAAATATTTCAGAAAATTTTATAATTGTTTTACTGCCCAGTATTTCATTTACGAATTAATTATAAGAATTGATTTATATAATCTTTTAACTTATCACTTTTTTAATTTATGTACTTTTGATATATATATATATATATATACTTTTCTAATTTGACTTTAATTAACCAAAACAAATTCAATTTTTTGTAATTTGTATTTGAAAAGTTGCTTAAAATACTTAATTGTTTATTTGCATGTGTCGAATATTTTTATCTTTTGATTTGGACACATGTAAAGTTTGTATGCGCATTTTTTTTTGAAAATGTGTCATGCATTATGATCTTAATTTAATTTTAATCTAAGTACTTATTTAATTATAAATCACAATTATACAAGTACAATTGTTATCTAGCATAATTTTGTTGAATCATCTATGCATGAAAAATGATTGAATACAATCAAATATATCATCGTGTACAACTTAATAATTTAATGTGATAATCTTATACCAATAAAGTAAGAAACAGGGAACACTGTGTACGTTTTAAGTGATGAAAAACCAAGCTAAAACCATCAACTTTCTGTATGAACACACACTCACGTACACACGTACACCTAAAATCGTTTCCAACCAACATCATGCTTTTGAGTGCATATGTGTGCGTCCAGAAGTGAACTAATACGGGCTGATAAAGAAAGAGAAGAGAGACGTGAGTGCGTGTCAAGAAGTTGAGTATGGCTTAGGCATAATTTGTAATGTACCCACCGTCTGTTTTTCTTTGTAGTACTTAGTAATACAGGGTTATTGTTCAAAGAGCAGCCAAATTTTAAACTTAAGTTCAAATATATAAATAATGATATATCTTTATTGCAGTTTTTGTAAATATGAGTAAATGAGGTTTCTACTTTTATTTGAAATTATCCCAATTTGAATGTGATTTATGGGCAACAATGTTTTTGCCTGCCGATCAACCCTTACGAATGTGTGCGTGCGCAGTAAAATCAGTTAAAATAATGCATTACCATGCATTTTGAATATAAAAGATAAAAAGGAGAATATTTGAGATTTTTAAGTAATTTTTCATGACCATTTGCCTATTATTATTTATTTTGAACCTTCTCTGCAAATTTGGCCGGTTATTGCGAAATAATGAATGATATATGAACTCATAGATAAACATATTCAAATTCCAATTGAACAAAATGCAATTACAAACAAAACTATCAATTAATTTTTACCCTTTGAACTTTAAAAATAAAAGACTTAAAATGGAATTATTCATGGTTATGTTTCATTCATATTTTGATCCAAATCAATTATTTTCATGCATATTTTTATCTTAAGTAGAAAATATATATTATAGTGCGTTAAAAGTAAGTGGACTGTTAAATTTTTATCACATTAAAGAACGTTTTTTTTTTCAAAATTTCTCACTTTGTTTCATTTAAATACATTATACATCCATCACTATTAATCATTGGCTTGCAATGGGTGATTAAATTGACACATTCTGCTTACCATCATTTGCACATTTTTTTTTTATGGCAATACTTTTTTCTTAAATTATATAAAAAAAATTCCTATTGTTGTGACAAAGTTCTTTTGAATTGTTTGTTAGACAAATTTAGTAGCTAATATTCGTATTTATTTAAAATTTGCAACAATGTCAATATGTATTTTGTTACTATTATGTATCGCATCGCACTGGTTGGTCGTATTGATATGATTATAATAATTAATGACGATGTTTTAAACTAAGGTACATTACACTGAAATAAATAAGTCTTTAGTTATTTCTAGCGCGCTACGATTATACACACAGTTAAAAATTTGTAAATTTTATACATGTAGGATGCAAAAGAAAAATATCTAGATCGTATGTAGATTCTATTTAGCTTGTGAAAATGTGAAGGGAAATTTGAACATTAATATTTTACTTTTATAGCGAAAAAGTATATCGTTATAAAAAAAAAAATATATGACAACTCCGCGTAGCCTGTCGTAATTTGTGATCGATAATACAATACTTTTTACCACGGAGACCACATACGACTTCATTACTAGGATATTATGACTAAAACGAACGTACTTATTAGCACGTATTATGTTGTATTCAGTTTTAAGTCATGTATAAACACATTATAATAATGAATTAACTAATGCCTATGTAAAAGTATTGTCATATTTTTTTCTTTAAAAACTCAAGAAGAATTGAAGCTTGATGTATGCTTTTTGGTGACAGATGTGTCGTTGAGTCGGGCTGTCAACCGGCTGATACGTGCCGACGAGGCCCTCTTCCAGACCACGCCCGAAAAGAGGAGGAAAAAGATTTAATCGCCCAGCGCTTGCCGATAACTTCTCGCTATTTTCATGCTACGGAACTTATAGTTAAGGGTTATAATTGCTTGACTTATGAAAGTAGTGTCGTATAGTTTTTATTACTACGTCTCTACAGAGTATGTACTCTAATTTTATTAGAATATCATGAATTGTAGTTTCAAATTAGTATGTATTGAATGAATGAGAACTATGTGATTGTTATACTTGGAATGATACTTTAATTTCATAATGCTTTCATCTTTCAAAATATACATTATTAATAACTTATTCTAAGTAATTTTTATTCTTTTACCGCTGGTTCGCAAAACAAATTCGGCCTGAACTTCCTTCCAACTTTTTTTTAGAGTTCTTTCCCCAGTGATTGCATTACTTAATTGTTAAATGCAATTTTTAGTTCTAATTAAACATATTCTCGCTGATGAAACTTGCGTATTTGAGGAAAAATGAGAATTCAACCAACCTTCACTGGAGCATCGAGCGGAATAAGCTTTGTTATCATTATCTCACTAAAATAATAGGAGTGGCCTGAAGTTTATAGGCTGTACAAACTTTTTTACACACTAATAAACAAAAGAGTGCATAACCAACCTAATGGTTAGTGGTTACTGTAGTCCACGGACACTTGTACTTCAAAGACTTGCTTTGTCGGCTTAATCCACCCTGAGGACCAAAATGGAATGCTTCATAGCCTGTAATTATACTGGCTCTCCATATCGTTCAGACCGGAGCAACAATTAATGAAGACTTTAGAAGCCCCAGTAGCCCAATGGCAGGGCGTGGACCGCGAACTCGAAAGGTCGTGGGTTCGAATCAGCCACTCGACTACTGTCGTGAACCACTTCTAACACAAGCATTTTAACCTTACCAGAAGTGCTTAAAGGGATTATTAGTAATGTTTAATAGCATTACTAGTATTTTTATTATAAAAAAAAATACCTACTACTTGTTCATAGAGTGGTACCAAACGAGTCGATCTCCTAGAAAAGAAGTTAACTTAGTAAAACTGGTCGTAGTTTAGCAAAAATTATCTATTATATGTTACCCAATACCCACACTCTACTAAGAACAGATTACGTAAGTACATTTGTTAAGGCAAAAACACTTGTAGCAAAAACATAAACAATAATGCTACGTTTAGATGCTCACCGAGCACGAACATGTAAACATCTTGTTCTGGTATGCTCGCTGCTCATCCTCAGTACTTGCCTGTTCTCCACTCGACTCGTGTATTCATATCGGTGTTTACATATTCGTCATTATTCAGGTGACCCGTGAATTATCATTATAGTTTACTTGGCCAATCTACCGTTAAATTTTCTCTACTACCTTTGAAAAAAATATATTAAAAAAATTAAGTGTTTTCGGTTCAGCTATAATTAAGAATTTCACAAGAGTGAAACTAATTTTATATAATCTACTTATACTGTTTGCTATGCTACTGCTGGCTTTTCTTCATTTTTCATTTTAAATAATACTGAGACGTACGTTATTAATGTTTAAAACATCTACGTTGAATGAATACAGACTAATATGTGAACGTGTCGCACTTGCCCACGAATAACTTTACAAGTTATTCGGCGAGTTGTTTGTCCGATAATCTAAACGTTCCATAAATGTCAAAATTATAAACTAATAGTATATCAATATTTCAAAAGAAGCTTTTTGTGAGTTGGATTCTTTTTGTTTATAGATGTTCACTATTAGTGTTATTTTTTTTATTAAAATTAGATCTGTGGAATGGATCTGTGTAAATGCGACTAATGTCGGTTTACATCATGTAAGATATCGTCTATTTTATTAATTTTTATAGTTTTCCCGTAGACAGAATAATAGTTCTCTATCTATGAGTTTTCCATTAGCGATTGTAGTAAACTAAGTTTCTTAGCCTTGGTTTGTCACGCACGCCGAACGCACTTTCTGTGCTGAAAGGTATTTGGCGAACCATCATATTATCCATGTCATTAGTAACGGATTACAATACTTAATTAAAGGTAGATATTTATGTATGTTATCTTTTGTTATGAGCCATAAATGACAGTAGTGAGGTAGTAACATTGAGTATTACATTTTTGCGCTGTGATATATAATACAGCTGACTTTTTTATATTCATCATTCATCTTTTACATAGATAATTGTGTATAACTATTACTACATAATTATAATAATAATGTCGTAAATTTCTTTTCAGCAAACTATTTTGTGTAAGAAAATAAATATAATCTCTGCAAAAGCTGTTTCATTAATTCCTGGATACTCACAACGAACAAAGATAGAAAGGACAACAAAGAAAAGTGCGCGTACATTTTAAATGACGCACACCTTTCTGCTTTCTTCCTTTTATAGCCCATTAAATGTTCTTGCTGGACGCTCACATACAACCTAAAACCATGTTCATTCATCCATCCATCCATTACAACCTATAAAAGTCCACTGCTGAACCTAGGCCTCCCTTATGGATTGCCATAGTTGCCACGCTTGGTAAAGCGGGTTTTTTAAAGTTTTTTATTATTTTGAGTTGTTGTCAGGAAGATGCTGCCCATCTCCTGTTTCATTTTCCCTCTGTCGCCTCTTATGAGACACCCTTGGCACGATATAGAGTAGTGCAAATACTCCGCCACTACAGTATTACCGTCACTACTACGTAGTACTATTATTTACTCTGCGTCGCTACACGGTTAATATCATATTGGTGGCAAATTAGATACAATGTGTGTATGAGTGCGTGTCCTTGCATGGCTTTGGCTTCGCTTGAGCGTTACTTGAAATATACACAACGCTCCGTCTATATTTCTTTGTTTGTCTGACCCTGAATCTCGTATACGTAAGGGTGTTACCACACCAATCGATCGATCGTCGTTCGATACCATTGATCGACTTTTTTTTATAGAAAAGGCGGCAAACGAGCATGCGGCTCACCTGATGGTAAGTGACTACCGCCGCCCATGAACAACCGCAACACCGGGGGAATTGCAGATGCGTTGCCAGCCTTTTAGAAAGGTGTAAGCTCTTTTCTTAAAGGTCCCTAAGTCGTATCGGTCCGGAAAAATTGCCGGTGGTAAACAATTCCACAGAGAAGTTGTACGAGGAAGAAAACTCCTAGTAAAACGCACAGTGGACCGCCAAGCATCCAGATAGTGAGGATGGTATCGTGAATTATGTCACGATGTGCGTTCGTGAAATTTGGCGGCTGGAATTAATCTGAACAATTACTCAGAGCACTCCCCGTGGTAAATTCGATAGGAAATGCAAAGGGATGCAACATCCCTACGCAGTGCCAGTGTACCGAGCCAATCAGAATGAACTCGGTCGTCGACGATTCGAACCGCTCTGCGCTGGATGCGGTCAAGTGGAAGGAGCACTGGGGTGACCCGGCCCAGAGATGACAACAGTATTCCATGTGAGGCCGAATTTGCGCTTAGTAAAGTTGCAAGCGATGTGCCGGCATAAAACACTGTCTCGCTCTGTTGAGTACGCCAAGCTTTTTAGAGGCCAATTTGGCCTTCCCTTCCAAGTGACCACGAAACTACACACTATTCGATAGAATAGAATAGAATAGAATAATTTTTTATAGATTACATGTGTAATTCTTATTGAAACTCATTTTTTACTTTACCACTGATTCGAAAAAAAACCCTCTGTCCTGGGAAGAACCAGCAAGAAACCCAGCGGGACTTTTTTTTAAAATAATTCCTTCAATAGAAATGATTACAAACAGTTTACAAAATTTATTTTAGAAACTGCTTGGAAGCGACCACCTCATTCCCAGGGGTTATAATCAACCATGTATTCATTTATACTATAATAACCCTTTTTATACAGTTTCAGCTTAACATAACATTTAAACTTGGTAATAGAGAGAGCCTGTACACTTTCCGGAACCCTGTTGTAATAGCATATATATATAGCCCCAAGAATGAATTACTGACTGTGGAGTTGAGAAACTGGTAGGTATCACTACCTTGTGTTTGTTCCTAGTGTTTACAGAATGTATATCACTTTTTTTTACTAAAACTACCTTTGTTTTTGTGAACATACATTAAATTTTCGTAAATGTACTGAGAGGCCAAAGTTAATATATTTATTTCTTTAAATTTATCTCTAAGAGACTCTCGATTTTAGATTGTAAATAGCTCTAATGGCCCTCTTCTGTAAAACAAAAATAGTTTCTGAATCAGCCGCATTTCCCCATAGCAAAATCCCATAAGACATTATGCTATGGAAACAACTGAGATAAACTAATCTAGCTGTCTCGACACTAGTGAGACCTCTAATCTTTTTTACAGCATAGGCTGCAGGACTTAGTCTGCTTGCTAATTTGGATATATGGGGGCCCACTGAAGCTTTGTGTCGAGAGTGATGCCAAAAAAAACAGTGGATACAACAGGGCTCAGTTCCTCCCCATTTAAAACACATTGGTATTCAGATTTTTAACATTCATTGTTGTAAATTTAATACAATTAGTTTTATCTCCTTTTAAATGTAGATTATTAACGTTAAACCAAAGCACTAATTTTGATATAGCATTATTCAATTCGTCACATTTAAGTGATTGACGTTTAAGTTTAAAAATCAAGGAAGTATCATCAGCAAATAATGCTATATCATGATAATCCCCCACAAGGAAAGATAAGTCATTAATATACACCAGAGAGAAAAATGGGCCGAGAATCGAAACCTGAGGGACACCCATTAGTACAGGTGATTCGGAGGAACTTTTACCATTGATAATAACTTTCTGCATTCTATTACTTAAATATGAAATAATAAGTTTAAGCGCTGTGTTCTTGACACCATAGTACTGTAGGTTCCTGATTAATCTCTCATGGTGAACACAGTCGAAGGCCTTGGAAAGGTCACAAAATATACCCAAAGCATCCTTTGAATTCTCCCATGCACAAAAAGTAAGTTTAATAAGCTCAACTCCAGCGTCAGTTGTCGAGCGACCCCTTGTAAAACCTAATTTATTTTTATGTAGCAATTTATTAATATTAAAGAAACTTAACATCTGATCTAAAATTATTTTTTTCAAAAATTTTACTAAATGTTTGTAGTACAGAATTGGTCTAAAATTGGCGGGGTACTACCAGATTTAAATAAAGGTATAATTTTACTATGTTTCATTAAATCAGGAAACACACCAGATTCGACGCTTCTATTAAATATAGTGGCTAGATAAGGTGCTATTATATCTATTATAGATAAAACTACTTTAACGGAAATCCCCCATAAGTCTGCCGTTTTCCTAACATCAATAGTTTTAAAATATTTAACGATATCTTTTGGCAATACTCTTAGAATTTAAAAGTATTTTAACAAGCCTTTAAATTTTGTTTAAGCAATATGATATGATATGTCGACGCCGAGGATTCCGATACTAGCTGAGGCAACATGGGAAGTGCCTTGAAACTGAGGAGATACGACAAAGGGGTTCTTTTTAGCGGTAAACGTGCAAACTTGTGTCTTCTGGGGTTTGAACTGGACTAGATTTAGTCGCCCCAATCCGAGACTTTGTTCAACAAAGACTCGACTTCAGACACAAGTTTGTCCGCAACACGGCTACGTTTTCCCGAGAAATATTGGCACGGCTGGTATATAAGGCATCACCAGTGCTGTCGTCTGCATAGCAATGAATGTTACCAGTTTGCAACATATCATTGATATGCAGGAGAAACAGCGTTGGTGATAGCACGCAGCCTTGTGGGACACCAGCGTTGATAGGCTCAAAATCAAAGCATGCACCGTCTACTACGAATTTGATGCTCCGATAAGCAAGGAAACTGGTGATCCATTTGCACAATTTCTCGGGAAGCCCATAGGAAGGAAGTTTCAAAAGAAGCGCTTTGTGCCAGACCCGATCGAAGGCCTTCGCTATGTCCAAACTAACGGCCAATGCCTCCCCCTTGGACTCTATTGCCTCCGATCTTCTATGATTCAGGTAGACTAGAAGATCACCAGCTGATCAACCCCAACGGAAACCGTACTGGCGGTCACTAATCAGCTGGTGATCCTGAAGGTACCTCATGAGCTGGCAGTTTATAATGGATTCCATTATTTTGGAGAACAAGGAGGTGATGGCGATAGGCCTGTAGTTGGACGGGTCTGAGCGGTCGCCTTTTTTAGGGATCTGGTGGACCAAAGCTGTCTTCCATGAATTCGGGACTACGCCTTGGGAGTAGGAGTACCGGAAAAGACGCGTTAAAACCGGTGCCAACTCCGAAGCACACGTCTTCAGCACAATGGGAGGGACTTCATCAGGCCCACTCGACATGCTGACGTCCAGGGAGAACAGTGTTTTGCGAATCGAGTGCTGTGTAAACCGCACATCCGGCATGGAGCACTCACATCGCGGGATGGTCGGCGGTGTGTTCCCTCTTCATCTAGAGTCGAGTTGGACGCAAAGAGAGAGCTTAACAGATCGGCTTTCTCCTTTTGCGGCACGGGCCAGTGAGTTGCCCTCTCTGTGCAGAGATGGCTGACAGAAGTTCCCTTGGACAGCCTTGGCGAGAGACCAGAATGCACGGGTTCCCGAAGGAAGGCGAACTAGCCTCTTGCCAATTCTGCCGATGTGCTCCTTGCCTTGGCAATGACGCTTTTGAAGGACCTGGAGGCGGAATTGTACTTCTTTTTAAGAGCGCTGGTGTTTATATCCCGAGACGTTGATGCGTCAGCCAAGGACCGGTAGCACTACTGCTTATAGCGTGATGCTATTTTACACGAGCGACTAAACTACGGCTGGAATCTGCCTCCGATGGGCACCACAGAGAATGGAATAAAAAGTTCCATACCATGAAGTACCACATCAGCAACAAAATCGGCAACAACGCTGGGATTTTCCGGTGAGAAGCAAACCGGCCCCCAAGGGTAGGATGCAAAAAAAGATCGCATCCCGTCCTAATGTGCCAACCTATAGTGCCAAACACGGCGGCAAGCCGCAGATCGCAAATGTGATAGGAGCATGAGTGGCACCGTATTCCGGATCGGACAATGGTCCGAAGAGCCCAGAGGGGCATCGATGGAGACCTGATATCCGTCCGGATTAGAGGTCAGCAGAAGGTCCAACAGGGAAGGTACATGATCCTCCACATCTGGGATCCGCGTAGGCGAAGTAACCAGTAGACCATATGCCAAGGCAGTCATAGACATATCTACGCGCATGATCGGTCAAACGAAAACCAATCCATTCAGCGTGGTGGGCGTTAAAATTACCGAGTATCACGATCTCTGC